CTGCGCCCATGCACCTATACCCAGCCCCCATTGGGCCCTGTAGCTGCTTGGCAGGTCCTTGTTCCCCCTCCTTCCACCTCCCCTTCAGTTTCAGGGTCTGGATGGGGCTATATCTATGCATGTAGAGGCAGCATGGTCTGAGGGACCCCACCCCCTCAGCAACTCTACCACTTTCAGACTATTTGGGGCAGCAGGACAATGGGTGCAAGGGCCAGTGGGGAACAGAGAGGGAACATAAGATGGCCATGGAGCAATCTGAGGGTGGAAAGGGCAATTTGGGGGCTGGGGAGGGTAGCTTGGCAGCTCCCTACCCTCTCCCTCTTCCCCCCTCCAACCCTGTCCTCCATCACCCCTTCCCTATGCTCCCTCCCCCAGCTCCCTTACCCCCTTCACCTCTTTTTCTCCCTCCCTACTCACCCCATCCCTATCCACCTGTTGCTCAGCTCTTCCCAGCTCTCAGCCCAAGACCATACAGTCCTGTACAACAGCTAGTCCACCTGGGAGCAGTGCTTGCTACAGTATTGGAGGACTGAAGATTAGTAGTTATCTGTCAGATGAACATCCAGAAGTTAACTTAACTTAAGCTCTAAGTAACACAGTTTAAAGATGCTCCTTGCCTGAAGTGGTGTAAATTTAAGACTCCTAAAGAGCACTTGGCACTTGTCAGTGAGCCTTAATGTGTGAGCAGTCAAGTTTTGAGTGCTCTTCATATCATCTAATTGTAATGTATAATCTCACCCTAAAAGCTGGCATTTTCTGGGTGCATCTTGATTCTATCCAGAAGTGTCTTGAGTCTATCCACAGGTGCCCTGAGTCTAAAATGATTGAGGACTGCTAATTTAAGGGTTACTGTCTTGGCTTGGTACTTGGGAGATCTGGGGCAATTCCCATCTCTGCCACAGTGTTCCTTTGCAACCTTTAGTAGTCATATGACTTCTCTGTGTTTGTCCACAAGTAGGAATGCCCTAGGTCATGATGGTGTTGTGAGAATGTTTACTGGGTTTTAAGTGTTCAAATACTCAGTTGATGGGGGCTGTCACATAAGTTGCATCTATATATTTGAATGATTTAATGAAAAGCACAGACACTCTTGAGGTATGTAAGCCTTTTGTAGGGAATAATGTTCTATTTTAAAATGATCTTAGGGGCTGTGCTAAGCCAGACCACTGCAGAGTGGTGTATGTTACTGTTTTGTACACAAAATGGGGGAAGTAACATTGTTGTCTTCTGCTGTGCTTTACATTTTCACTGCAGGTGGGCAGCTCTAATTGCCCTTGGGGGTCATATTAGTGAGGATCTGGGCTATTATTTACTTGTTTTCTGAAAGTAATATTCCAGTGAATAATAGGTCCCCCAATTAGAGATCAGGGGCTATTTTTGTTATGTGCCGTTCCAGGGGGGGCAATCTTATTGGCAGACATCCCATATATTCCCAAAGTGCCACTCTGATCCCCTTTCCTTACCCAACTGGCTGCTCTGCTTCTGTTCCCTATCCTGTGCTCCCTGCCTAATCTGCTGTTCTGTTTTCTATCTGCCACTGCTGCCTGTCCCCCACCCCCAGTTTGCCATGTGCCAAACAGAGAGATTACCTATGCCACTTGTGACTTGTGTGCTGAAGGTTGGACACCCCTCTACTATGCAACCAGAAAACAAAGTGCAGGCCTATGAATCTTGGAGTCCAAACATAGTGCCATGTTAAAGAGAAGTCTCTGGCTACCAGATCTCCAGCTGTCAAGTTTTTTGCAGGCAAAATATGGTTTTAAGAAGTGATGAAGGAGAATGCAGCAATGGTTTTGTAAATGTTAACAGGGAGCAGCTCTTATGCTCAAGGGCACTTTTAAGCACCATCTAACAAATGGGAGATGAAAGGTTGGTACTGTCAGCAGAGCAGAGGCCTGTAATGAAGGCTTGAGAAGTTCTGGAAGGAGGATGGGAGGAGTGGGCCACAAGGAGTATGAACAGACTCTTCTTGCCATGCCTCCTCCCAAGCCTCAGCTTTTCACTTTTTGAGTTGTATTGGTCTTAATTCCTGGCCACTGAAGACATTCAGGGAAAAGCCAATGGCAATCCCAGGGTGTATTTTGGTCCCAAGTTGAGAATGTAGATGTTGTTGTTGTTGTGTTTTTGAGTTTGTTTTGGGTTGTTTGTTTTTTTTTACTGAATCAAAGATGTTTTTCTTTCTATTGGCAGTTTCTGCAGTTGTCAGGCAAGCTGCACATTTGTGTAAAAGGGGATTTCTGGTGTAAATGCTGGGACATGGGGAATAAAAATAGAAGGTTTTCTGTAGAATGCACAAAGGCATGCTTACATATGCAGCTTCTGTAGCTTTGTGATTATAAGTGTCACCCACATCTTTCTATTGTTTGTCATGTTTACTGCTTGCATTTTTGTTCCAGATTTAGGCCTAAGGCTGGGACACTTCTGAAGGGTAATGTAAGAGGATTGGAGTGCATGCTGCCATGCAGTTGGGCTTTGGCCCTTAGGATTCCTTCAGACCATCCAAAAATAGTCTCCCCTTGGACTTTTTAACTACCAGCTAGTCATCCACAACTGGGCTCCTACCCCATGGCTGCCTGTCTCCCTTAAAGGGCCAGACTGCCCTGTTACAGGTTGGTAACTTAACAGATGTGAAAAGTCCTATTGCACATTTCGTAGGTTTAGGCATATGTAAGTTTAAAGCTTATGCAAAACCCTTTAAGGACTCAAACTTTAAACTTGCCAGGGTAGGGATCTTGCAATCTGCCTGCACAACACATGTAACACAGAGAAGCCTGGGTTCTACTCAGGGATTCTAGTGATCCCTCATAGTAAGATCTATGATGCCTGTGGAAACTCTGGTGGGCACCAGGTGTGAACCCTTAATAACAAATAGTATTGGACTGACTAAAGAGTAAGAGCTCAGAACCAGCTTGCCGAGCTGAGGCAAAGTTCCTTTTTTTCTTCTCACAGTTACATTCTTTTAAGTCTCTGCTTTCACTACAACATCTGCTGACTAATATTAAATTAGGTATTTTGGCTCTTTGTCTGTTCCTTTGTGTACTGGCACAAAACTTAATAGCCTCCTTCACTCTACAGATTTTTAATAAAGCCTGAGGAGTGGAAAATAGAAACGAAAAAAGCTGCAATATGGTTGCAGCATTGTAATAAGCTGGGTAGCATGGCGTACCACTGTCCTCTGCCAAGTGGACCAAAGTCTTCTCCACCATGTCATAAAATGTATATGACTAACAGATTATCCTAGAGGTTACAGCCCCTATTCATTCAAAGTAGGGGGAATGCAAGTTCTATCCTTGTTATTGCCTTGTTGTGCACGGTCATGGATTCATTACATTATATGGCCTCTGTGATGTGATACAGCAGTTAGAAATGCCAAGAGAGTGATAAAATACATGATTAAGAAAGTAGAATGTAAACCAAAAAAAAAAAAACTCTAGACCTTGCTCATTCCAGTTTGTTATTAAAAAGGTGAATTATCGGGAAAAGTAAAGAGAGAGGGCAACAGTATTAACCTTAGGATTAAAAGATGTGATCCTGCCAGGAGAATAGGCTGAACTAAATAAATCCATGCCGACTAGAAAGAAATAAGATGCTTAATAGAGAATGTAATTGAAGCTTAGTCAAACTAGCTGAGATTTTTTTTAATGTCAACTCAAATTATTTGTTTTAATCTCATAACGGTGGCAGGATGGTGTGAATATTAAAGGAAACCTCCTGAGACCAGCAGCCTTTTCCAAAAGACCTTGCGTGTTGGCTTTATTTATGTAATTTAGAAGCACAAGACTTACCTTGAATGTGTAGTTGTCAGCCACAAGCTAAGGCTGTGGAAGCAAATGTGCTTGAGGCAATTAATGAAAAAAAAATTGAATGTGGCACTAAGAAATAAATTCCACCCATAATATTACTGCAAGTTATCTTGGGCAAATCCGTCAGTATCCTAATATGATGTAATTGTTGTACTTGGAAAAGGAAATCTCACCTTGCACTAGTAGTGCTTGTTGTTGGTAGAGAAATCTCTTTCTCAAAGAATTTGTGCTGATGAAAGGTGGTGGCTGGTGACCCCCTGGGGGTTGAAGTTCTGCCATCCAGGAGACTTGCAGCTGCAGATAAAGCTTTGACTGCTGCACATGTTTTTCCTCCAGTTCTAAAGCATGTTTCTGGGAGTGAATGATTTCTTTCATCTTCCATGAGCCATTGTGTTTTGTTTGCCAGCTGGGCTTCTGGTTTGTGTCTCAGAAGTTTGTCCTTGAAGAGTTGGACCAAGACTACCAAGGCATAGGTCACTAAGTAGGTTTGAGACTGCAATGACTTGAATTTACTTTGAATCAACAAGCTCTGTATCGCATTTTCCCCCAATTGCTGATCTATGCGTTGTCCATTCTCTAGATCAGGGGTATCAAACAAGTGGCTCATGGACCAGATCTGGCTCATGGAGAGGCCAGGAATTAGGGAGCAAAATGAGTAGGGACAGGACCTGCTGCAGAAATCTGGGGTACAGAGCCCTGTTGAAGATGCATTTCAGTGGTAGGAACTAATGATGGCTGTGTTATCCCCTGTGGCCCCCTGCTGCTGCTGCTGTTTGCCCTGCTGCCAGAGCTGACCCTTGAAAAGCCCCACAGTTTGGATCCAAGCCTGAGGGGCCAAACTGGTCTGACACCCCTGTTTTAGATAAATCCGGTATTTTTTAAAGTCTTTGGTGCTATTCCTCTCCATTGTCCCCACATTGTGGAGGTTGAATAGCTTCTAGTCTTTCCTGGAATTTGGCTTGCTTTTGTTGCATCCACAGTGTGCCTTTTGAGTGCAGGCCAGTGTGAAGAAACTCCTGTCTGTCATTTGATCTGATCTGGCTTCCCCCAGTACCCTTTGTTACCTGGATATGGAGAAAACACAAGGAAAAATGTAAATGATAACAGCCTTCATTTATGTAAGAAATATGACCAGTCAGAAGGGGAACAGTGGTTTGTATTAACCTTGCATGTATTGTGTCTGTTGTCCTGTTACAGTATTTGACTGCAACTTTGAATCATCTTGTGAGCTGGAATACTCTCTTCCATTGAAAGATAAGGAAAGCTACAATGAGGCTTGGCACAGAGTGAGTGCAGCGGAGATTTCCCAGCTAAACCTTTCCGGTGTACCAGAAAGAGATTACTCTGAGGATTCATCAAGAGGTAAGATGAGCAGGTGTATTTAATCTTTTCAGTGTAATGGCATGCTATTAGACACTGCACCCTCTAGAATACAAAAGGACAGCTGCAACAGTTTGGCTGTGGCAAAAAGCCTTACGGGAGTTGCTCAGCCTATGATGTGTTCTGCTTCAATAGGAGTCCAGAAACACTGAACATGCAGGAAGCAGAATGGGAGTGGGTTCAAACCAATTATGATATTGTACAAAACCTGAACCAGACTGGGCATTGGTACTGTCGATGAACTACAATAACACTGCAGCTCTATGAAACCTTTTCTCAGAGGCTTCAAAATTAAATGTATATTGATAATCCAGCCCCATGTCATGCTTGTGAGGATTATATACATATACATTTAAAGGTTAGAGAAGACTGTCACTCTGTTCCCTTCCATGATGTCATTGTTATATATATATAGCTAGGAATTAATGTAGTTTTGAGAGAAAGCCAAGAGGAGTCTCGGGGATGTCTGAGTGCTATTGGCATGAATAAAGAAACCTCTTTGTTAAAGTGGCCGCTGACTCAATGGACTGAACCCACTACATGACAATGCTGGGTAAACTGTGACTCAGGGAAATTACAGAAGTTGCTTAATCTCACTCTGGGAATGGAAGGACCAAGAATGAGATTTGAAAGTTCTGCTTAGCTTTTCCTTGCTTCAAAAACATTGGGGTATAGTTGCTTTATCAGAAAGGCTGGCCAGACAGTTTCCTTCAGTCCAGGATTTAAGATTCTTAATGAATGTCAAGAGAAAAGGAGCACTAAGCTTTGGCATTATCATAAAAGAGATCTGGAAGTATGAAAAATAATGAATGTAAACATTGGGGTTTTTGCTCTTTTGAAATAAAAGCATAGGAGTTTTTTCCCTTCTGGATGGTGATTGCTACCCTTGAATCAAACCTTATAATAACAGCATACTTTGTTCACATTATGTGTCAGAGAATTTACAGACATGCACTACTGCCAATTTAATTATCGGAGAGTGGAAAGAAACTCTGACCCTCTTCAGATGTTGTACATACTTGCTTGAAAAGTACTCATACTAAAAGACAAGAGGCTACTTGAGGGTCTGGAACTGAAAAAAGAAGAGTATAGAAGGGGCAAATCCACTTTCAAACAAACAACATGTCAAGAAAAGTTTCTTCTGAGGCCTCATTCCAAGAAGTAACCAACTTCCAAGAGAAGTGGTGCTGGCTCCTACCCTGGGGGTCTTTAAGAGGAGGTTAGATGAACACCTTGCTGGGGTTGTTTGACCCCAGTACTCTTTCCTGCCATGGCAGGGGGTTGGACTAGATGATCCACTCAGGTCCCTTCTGACCCTAGAAACTATGAAACTATGAAGCAGAGACACAGCTATAGCCATGTGCTAAGCTTTTCACAGAAACATCTATTGTATATCATCTTCAGGGCCTGTTACTACAGCCTTACTCATACAGATAATCCCACTGACTTGAGTGAGATTTATCATGTGAGTAAGTGTAAACAGCAAGGTTGATGACATACCCAAATTAATTAGATTCCCTCTCTAGATCAGGGGCAGAGTTTACTATGGACACTACATTCAAGTAGGAAGAGGAAGCTCATGTTCATTGCCTCTTGTCTTTAATTGGATTACAGCAAAAACAGGAAAGAAGAGGCAGTCAGGAGGAGGAGGAGAAGGAAGGATAGGAATAATAAGAATACTTGTCTCAAGTAGGCTGGCTATGTCTAATTAAATAGAAATCCCAGCAGAGTGGGGTCTAAAGGAGGATTAGAATGAGAAATGTGGTGGCTCTGTGAACAGATCTGAGAGGAGATCCCACACTGGAAGGACATCCAGGAGGGTAGGGCTGGGGACAAAAGCCTTGAATGAACAAGGACCTGGAGGTGTCCAGGAATCCTCTGCTGAAAGGGTCAAACTATCAAAAAATCCAACTGGAAAGTTTTACTAGGAATATCATGGTTTCAGTGAAATTTTTTTTGGGGAAAGTTTCCTCAGGATGTGGGCATACGTAGCACTTAGATTGTTTTACATGTGATTTAAACTGCAAGGGGCCAGACATACAAGCTCATTTAGAACAGTTTAAACATCCTGCAATGTTTCAAAGTATACCTGGATCATCAGGGGTTGTGTTGGTGTTTTGTTTTTAAACCATTTATTTGCAAATTTGTTCAGTGTTATATGTGGACACGAAGCTTTTTGTGTCTAGTGTCTGGTCAGTCCTCCACACACTATGCAGTTCCTCCCCTCTCCCCTCCCAACATCAGTGGGGAAACTGGTTGCTCTGGTACTGCTCACCTCCCAGGTGAGGAGCAATTAACAATGAATCAGTCAGTTCACATTGACCAAGCAGCTCATTTTTCCCTTGACCAATATTTGATGAGTATTTAGCATTAAAGGCATACCTGCCCACCTACCAAACTCAGTGTGTGTTGGAGGGAGGTGTGAATCAAAAATAAGTGGCTTTCTAAAGAAAGTCTTTTTAAAGCTGCAGCTTCATGCAGAGACCTTTGACAGCCCCCAGAATACCCAGTCCCTCAGAAATGCAGAAGCAGGAGTCCAGGCACCTGCCCCCTTCCCTTATTCAGCCAATCAGGGTTTGCCTGCTAGGGAAATCCTGAGGAAACTCAAGGGCATTTACCATTGCAAGGCATGGCGGGCTGGTTACCTACTAGGGCTGTGAGAAGCTTCAGTCCCTGATTCGATTTGGTGGAAATTCAACCTGATTTGGTGGCTGAATCTCCAAATCTGAATCAAATCAGAAGACCCTTTAATCTCTCCAAATAGACTCAGAACTCTCTGAATTGATTCAAAACGATTCAGTGACTCAGATGTAGACACTGCTTTAAATGCTTTTTCTACATACCTCAAGGTAGAAGGGGCTGTGATAGCTATGATGATGGGGTGCATGGAGTGTCCCACAGAAGTATGGGGAGCTCCCCAGCACGCTTGGCAGCAGACCTAAAAGTGGACCAGAAGCAGTTCTGGTCCACTTCTAGGTCCACCAAGGAATGCACTGGGGGCTCCCCTGTGTCCCCCCCCCAGGTCAGCAACTGATTCCTCCTGGGTCTGGGGGGGCACCCAGGGCCCCCTGCAGCCAATCACTGAGCTGGGGGCCACCGGGGGGGGGGCGCCCTGCATGCTCCTTGGAAGACCTGGAAGTGGACTAGAAGTGCTTCTGGTCCACCTCCGGCTTCACCACTGACCATGTGCCCTTCCCCACGCTTCTGTGGGAGCTCTATCTGCCCCAGCATCACAAGCCATGCCTGCTACCTCTAGGTATATAGAAAAAACTTTTTAAAGTGGTGTCTATGTCCCAATTGCTGATTCTGCAAATCAGCATTGAATCTTCAGATTTGGAGTCGGCCAAATTGAATCAGGGACAATGATCTGAATCAATGAATCGAGTCACTGTCCCTGATTTGGGCCAAATCTGAATCAAATGGAGCCATTTCGCACACCCCTATTACCTACCACACCCCCTAGTGGTGGTTCAACAGCACTGCAATACCTAAACAGTGACCATTCTACTTGGAACCCTTATGCAGATGCCTCTGAACCATGATAATTGTGAACCAGTTCCTGATCAGTGACATTCTTGGAATAGTTCAATTGCTCTGTGTGCCCACACCCTCATATTCAGGAGTTGGGCTGGGGGAAGTGAAAATGGAGACACTCTAGAACAGCCAGTGCCCAAGGTCAGGTTCTTGCTCTGCCTTACTGACCTGGTGCTTGAATGTCAGTGTCTCCCCATCCCAGGTAGGTGAAAAATGTTGGCATGGATCTCTTTCAAGCTCTTCTTCTTAACAGCAATTTCACATTATATTATATATAGCCTAAATATTACTTGGGACAGAAGTAGCTGATTGGCAGGTTATGTAACCCAGTGGTTAGAGCATCCACTGAGATGTGGGACCCTTAGGATCAAATCTGTGGTCTGCCATTATCTTACAGATGAGTGCCCTAACAATTGGACCAGAAAAACTGGAACATAGGCTCAAGTCACCACAGGGAAGTGTGTGTGTGTGTGTGTGTGTGTGTGTGTGTGTGTGTGTGTGTGTGTTTAAACGCTATCTCAAGACTTTCTGTTGTAGCCCAGTGATCTGGTAGTTGCCTCAGATGCAGGAAACTGGCCGGGCAGGAACTTAAATGAGGGTGTCTCACATCCCAGCTAAGTAACCTTCCAGATTGGGAATAGCTGATGATACTTCCTTCTGGGCTGACTTCAGGCCCTCCAGAAGCCCAATGGTGGAACTGTAGCCCTGATCTACAAATGACTCTGGCTACTGCAGCATAGAGAGACTTGTTTGAAAATTCTGCACTTGCAGCCAGCATCTTTCTATTTTAAATCACTTTAATTACAGCTGCTTGGCACAGATATTTTGTGTGGTCTGTTTCAATGTGAAATAATTAGGCACAGTAATTCCAACCCCCACTGTTTGTTTCTTGCAAATTGTACTGCCAATTATCTGACTCCCATTCCATCTCCATTCATGGGCTGTAATGAACAGAAGTAAATAAGCAGATAGCATAACCAGATTTGAGAGTTAATTTAGCTCATCCTTGTCACTTGACTATCAAGTCATGTCAAGCAAACCTTTTGTTAATGAGGACAAGCCCCCTCGGCCTGATTTGTTATCCTCCCTATGTAGAAGGGTCATGGATGTTTTTGACATGGAGAAGCACATGAAGAGCTTCTGGGTTATATTCCCAGCTGCAATATAAACTCTGTTTCTGAGAAGCAGGATGAATTACTCTATGCTGACCTCACTCTCACTGCAGCCAAACTGCTGCTAGTACCTGAGCTGGCTATTTGAAGGCTAGTTTAGGTATCTCCCATGCTACAGTGAGCTACTGCCAAGGGGACAAAATATGTGCCACTGAGAAAATTGCTTAACTTCTCACAATGTTAGCTTCCCCTTTTTGAAAGATGGGAGTCATAGCACTTACACACCTTTTCAAAACATTTAGGGAGCCACAGAAGAAAGGTGCTAGTTAAACATTA